GAGGACAGAATAGCCGGGCTGGTGCCTCTTCATGGTTAGCATATGTAATGTTGAGAAGGGTCGCACGGTAAAAAAAGAAAAAGGACCAGAAATGAACCCGGTTGGATCACATTGTGCAGCTTATTGATGCTCCAGTTTTCATGATCTGCTGTTGATTCTGCTGTTTGTGTTGACGGTGTTTATTTGGTCACTTTTAGTCTCCTGCGGTCTGTTCTTCATACGTGGATTAGGTTGTTAAAGATTTGACATGATCCAGGATCGTTTCACTCTTCAAAACTGATCCGAGAGTTGTTATCAACACTGGTAGCTCAAACCTGGTCGGGAGCAGCTCATTTCATATGAACAGGATTAGATCGGCTCAGTTCAAGCAATGATGATATTTTCTCACAGTAGTAGTTATATACACTTGGGAAAATAGTACATTTTTGTTAACTATATATATAAATATAGTATAAAAAAAAAAAAAAAAAAATATATATATATATATATATATATATATATATATATATATATATATATATATATATATATATATATATATATATATATATATACATACATATATATTAATAAAACTTATGCAATCTGCACTCCGAAATGAAAGTAAAAGACCACCTGGGGGTGCAAAGAGAAAACTTATTGATACGAATTTTTTAATTCGCTTTAGTACAATTAGTGTATGATAATAGAAATGCTCAATATGTGACTTTTTTAAAAGCAATAATAGATTTATGCAGTCATAAACATGTCTTGACAGTTAATATGACGCTGATTTGATGCTTCACAAAAGCTGCAGACGCCTTTACCAACATCAAAATCTTTTGTAAACATCCAGTTATTCTTTACACCGAAAAAATGGCTACTATAATACTATTATGGCTACTATATTAAGGAAAATCCGCTCTAACTGTAAAACTGAATAAACTGCTCTTGACACATGAGAGGGCCAATCATGCAGCCCACAAGATGTGAAGTTATTGCATGTCATATTTAACAAGCCGTTTACTGCTCATTTGATGTTATTTTGCTCTCATGGATAATTGAATATTAATCAGATGATGTCATCACGCTGCTGTGCCGTCAGCCAATCGCTGCATTGCTGATCATGATTTGGAGGATGGATAGATCTGTCCTTCACAACACACGCAGATCTCAGATCAGTTCATCCAGACATTTGAATCTGATTCAAGCATGAATTAGCATGTTATTACGTCACTTCTGTTTTTTTTACTTGGCTTGCCAAAAGTGGCCCACATATGCTTTAAATGAACTGGGCCACATTTGCCAAATCTTCTCTGGGCCACATTAGGCTCACAGCCGCAATAGCCAGAGTTTACTGTGCCGAATATTTGCCAAAAGTGGCCCACTTATGTCTTAAGATAACTGAGCCACATTTGCACTACACGTGTGAGCCACTTTGGGTTTAGACCCAGATTACCCTTAAATGACTATGCCACATTTTTGCCAGCTGTGGCCCACATCATTTGTCCTCCATCATTTGGGCCAAATTGATCATTTTCCACATGGGCCACATTAGGCTCACATTCAGATTACATTTTGCCATCAGTGCTAAATCCTTGCCTTAAATGGCCCATATATGAATGTGAATCTTTGACTCCCCTTGGTGGGCCACTTCAGGCTCACGTTCATTTTGTCTGGGCTGAAGGAAGAGCACCAGTGCCGCATAACTGCCTAAAGTGGCCCACATTCATATGCTATCTGGCTGAACTCAGATCAGTCAAGTATATCACAGCTTCAGGTGGAGTCTTATTGTGCATTTGTGTCCTGTTTATGCTTATTGAATTCAGTGTTTGAGTTTATTCTTATGTTTTTGCCCAAATACACTTAATACTGGACATTTCTGTACCACTCCTCTACAGGATTTCCATCCTTTCAGAATCAGCTGCGTGATGCTTCAGTTCAGATCGATGTGAGAAATGCTGACGGATAATTCAGGTGTTGATCACAGAAGGTATAAAGCAGTTCATGAAGGGTTAAAGTGGCAGTGTTGTTCACTGATGATGAACAGGATCTGCATTATATTTCAGTGTTTTCTGTTTTCCTTCACTGCTGAATCTCCATCTTTAACACACGATGCACTGCGACTGTGTGTGTGCGTGTGCGTGTGTGTGTGTGTGGCTTCAGTTTGAGACAGACGCGTCCTTCATGGATCCTCGTATGCTTTTTTAATCACACACACACGCACACACACACACACACACACACACACACACACACGCACACGCACACACAGACATTAGTGTTGAGGAGGAGCACATGGCTGCGTGTTCCCCTCCAGTGCAGCCGCAGCCGCAGGCAAGACAGATGAGAGCGCAGCCGACAGCTGGCCTTACCCACACACACACACACACACACACACACACACACACACACACACACACACGCACACACACACACACACACACACACATCAGGTTTGTTCGTTCAGACGGTGATCTGGACAGTCAATTCACCGTTATATCTACAGGAAGGTGGAGTCAATATCTGAGCGGTTGTTAATGTGTGTGGGACATGCTGAGCTGGTCAGGCAGGTACAATACGATGATGGAGACCCCTGGATAAGGAGAAACAGACGAACACCGCTGTATTTTTGCTCCAATTAGCAGAACTGAATTTTCTAGTAAAGGTGTAGTCATCCGAGCACTGTCGCCTCACAGTAAGAAGGTCGCTGGTTTGAGTCTCGGCTGGGTCAGTTGGTGTTTCTGTGTGGAGTTTGCATGTTCTCCCCGTGTTGGTGTGGGTTTCCTCCAGGTGATCCGATTTCCCCCACAGTCCAAACACATGCGCTATAGGGGAACTGATCAACTACACTGGCCGTAGTGTTTTAGTGTGTATGGGTGTTTCCCAGTGCTGGGTTGCAGCTGGAAGGACATCTGCTGTGGTAAACATATGCTGGAATAGTTGGTGGTTCATTCCACTGTGGCGACCCCTGTTGAATAAAGAGACTAAGCTGAAGGAGCGTGAATGAATGATTGTAGTCATCCACAAGCTGTAAATTCCGACACACAGATCAGATCAGGTTGAGAGGAGATGTAGAGTTGTGTATCATCAGCATAACAGTGGAAGCTAACTCCATGTTTTGTAATGATATCACCTAGCGGTAGCATATAAAGTGTAAAGAGTAAGGGACGCAGTACTGAGCCTTGGGGTCCGCCATGGTGTATTTCGATTGATATGAAGCCTCTTCATTTACTGACTGGAGAACCAAGCCAACGCCGCTCCAGTCATTTATCACTCACTCACTTTATTTAGGTTTAGTCTCTGGTTTATCAAGGGTTGCCACAGCGGAATGAACCAGCAATCATTTTTTACATGTTTTACACAGAGGATGCCGTTCCAGCCGCAACTCAGTACACAAACACATGAACCCCAGTGCTGCCGCAGTGATCTCGAATAAACTGAGACAGCAGAGCATCATCTTCAAGCCGATCAGGAGAATATCATGATCACCTGTGTAACAGAGATGCTTCCAGCATGAGCTGGTGTGAGCAGGTCATCGCTGACTCTGATGAGTGCTGTTTTACTGCTGTGAAGTGCTGGAATCCTGCTTTTCGAGCAGATCTTGATTTTCTCTAAGAGCAAACATAATTGTTAGTTGCTCAGGGCTGCTGCAGAATCTGAATCCGTGATAAGTGATGCTTCTGCTTTAGAACAGCTGAAATTACTGCTGTACAAACACACACTGACAGCAGATGCATCTCAACACCAGCTCAAGCTGGACTTCTGTGCAGTCTCTCAATATAGAGGAGGATACGTCTATACACAGCCAGACCCATAAATGTTGGGACATCCACACAACTCCTACATCTTTGGCTCTATACAGCAACACAATGGATTATAAATGAAATGAGCTGTCAGCTTTAATCTGAGGAGATTTATATCCACATCAGGTGAACACTGTAGGAATTACAACAGTCTGCATATGTGCCTCCCACTTGTTAAGGGACCAATAGTACAGAATAATAATCAAAAATCTTATTAATACTTACAAAAATCTTTTTAATACTTGGTTCAAATGATGGTGGTGCTCGGCCAGGCTACTACAGCAACTGTCTTCCGTTCATGCATGTTCTTGGGGAATTTCTCCTTCAGTTTTGTCCTCAGCAAGTAAAATGCATGCTCAAATGGGTCAGATCAGGGGACTGAGAAACTCTTTGGTTGCTTTTGCAGTATGCTTTGGGTCATTCTCCATCTGCTCTGTGAAGCTCCATCCAGTGAGTTCTGAAGCATTTGGCTGAATATGAGCAGAGAATATTGCCTGACACACTTCAGAACTCATCCTGCTGCTTTATTCAGCCTCACATCATCAATAAACACAAGAGAAGCCGTTCACTGACAGCCATGCATGCCCACGCCATGACACGACCACCACCATGCTGCACTGCTGACGATCATGAGCAGCTCCTCTCCTCCTCCACACTCTTCTCTTCACATCACTTTGGTACACGTTGATCTCGATCTCCTCTGTCCAGAGGGTGTTGTTCCAGCACTGTGAAGACTATTTCAGAACTCTAATCTGGCTTTCCTGTGTTTGAGGCTCACCAATGGTTTACATCTTGTGGTGAACATCTTTGTTTTGTGTTTTCAGCCTAATGATGGCTTGCTGGACTGATAGTGTCAGCTCTTTGGACCTCATCTTGAGAGTTGACAGCAAGAGATTTCAAATGCAAACAGCACACTTGAAATAAACTCTTGGACACAGCTGGCCATGGAACAGCTAAGAAGCCAATTGTCCCATTACTTTTGGACCCTTAACAAGTGGGAGGCACATAAGCAAACTGTTGTAATTCCTACAGCGTTCACCTGATGTGGATGTAAACACCCTCAGATAAAGCTGAGTCTGCAGTTAAAGCACATCTTCCTTTCATTTCATATCCACTGTGTTGGTGAATAGAGACATAAATGTTAGAATTGTGTCGATGTCCGAATATTTATGGACGTCACTGTATAGAGGTAATTTATGATGTGTTTGTTGACAGGATGAATGAGGAACAGATCGCCACCGTGTGTCTGTCAGTCTTGAAGGCGCTCTCATATCTGCACACTCAGGGCGTCATTCACAGAGATATCAAGAGTGACTCCATCCTACTGACCAGTGACGGACGGGTACGTGAAGTCTTCATTTCATTCTGTTTTATCCTGATATATAAGTATTGACTCATTTATTACAGTGGTTGAACAGTTGAACTCATGCAGCCGTGATGTATGTGTTCTTTGCTCCAGATCAAACTTTCTGACTTCGGCTTCTGTGCTCAAGTGTCTAAAGAGGTTCCCAAGAGGAAGTCCTTAGTGGGGACGCCGTACTGGATGGCTCCGGAGGTCATCTCCAGGTTACCCTATGGCACTGAGGTACTCCAGTGTCCTTGACCTCTGACCTGTGACTTCTGACCTGTGCTGGTGAGTCTGACCAGTCTGTGTGTGCAGGTGGACATCTGGTCTCTGGGCATCATGGTGATAGAGATGGTGGATGGAGAACCACCGTACTTCAACGAGCCGCCACTGCAGGCCATGCGAAGAATACGAGACAACCTGCCACCCAGACTCAAGGAGTCTCACAAGGTGATGGGCCTTAACACACAACCATAACATCTTAGACCCAGTCAAAGTGACCCCTAATCACAATGACCCCTGACCCTAATCAATGACCTCAAAATCTTAGACAAAATTACCCCCCATTCCTAATCACAGTGACACTCCAATACTAATCACAATGTCTTCTTTAACATAATAAAAGTGACCCTCCTAACCCTAAAAACATTGACCTCCCTAACCCTGATCACAGTGACCCCCCTAACCCTAAAAAGAGTGACCCCCCTAACTTGAATAACAGTGGCCCCCTAACCCTGATCACAGTGACCCCCTTATCCTAATAACAGTGACCCTCCTAACCATAATAACAGTGACCCCCTAACCCTAATAACAGTGACCCCCTAACCCAAATAACAGTGACCCCCTAACCCTGATTACAGTGACCCCCCTAATCCAAATAACAGTGACCCTCCTAACCCTAATAACAGTGACCCCCTAATCCAAATAACAGTGACCCTCCAAACTCTAATAACAGTGACCCCCTAACCCTAATAACAGTGACCCCCTAACACTAATAACAGTGACCCCCTAACCCTGATTACAGTGACCCCCTAACCCTAATAACAGTGACCCCCTAACCCTAATAACAGTGACCCTCTAACACTAATAACAGTGACCCCCTAACCCTAATTACAGTGACCCCCTAATCCAAATAACAGTGACCCTCCTAACCCTAATAACAGTGACCCCCTAACACTAATAACAGTGACCCCCTAACCCTAATAACAGTGACCCCCTAACACTAATAACAGTGACCCCCAAACCCTAATAACAGTGACCCCCTAACACTAATAACAGTGACCCCCTAACCCTGATTACAGTGACCCCCCTAACCCTAATAACAGTGACCCCCTAACCCTGATTACAGTGACCCCCTAATCCAAATAACAGTGACCCTCCTAACCCTAATAACAGTGACCCCCTAACCCTAATAAGAGAGACCCCCCTAACCCTGATCACAGTGAACCCCAACTCTCATAACCTTGACCCCCCCCCCCATCCTAATAACAGGGAGCCCCCTAAAACTAATAATGACCCCCCAACCCTAATCACAATGACCCCCTTAACCATAATAACAAAGACCCCCTAACACCAAAAACAGTGAGCCCCTAACACTAATAACAGTGACTCCAACACTGATAACAATGATCCCCTAAACCCTAATAACAGTGACCCCCTAACACTAATATCAGTAAATCCTAACACTAACACTGACCCCCTAAACCCTAATAACAGTGACCCCCTAAACCCTGATAACAGTGACCCTCTAATCCCTAACAGTGGCCCCCTTAACCCTAATAACAGTGACCCCCTAACACTAATAACAGTGCGCCCCTAACACTAATAATAGTGACACTCTAAACCCTAATGACAGTGACGCTCTAACATTAATAACAGTGACCCCCTAAACCCAAATAACTGTGACCCTCTAAACCCTAATGACAGTGAACCTCTAACATTAATAAAAGTGACCCCCTAAACCCTAAGAACAGTGACCCCCTAACACCTGAACATGAGGCTTCATTCCTTCAGCACCTGAACAAACTTGATGTGTTTTGACTAGTATGATGTTTTGCAGTTTCAGCACATCGCCCCCTAGTGCTCAGGAGAGATGACATATGCCTAGTTTCTACTCAGAGCTTCTCTACACTTTGGTCCTGATAGGTCTCCTCAGATTAGGCTCATATCTTCAGTCTTTAGACCATATTGAGGAAGCCGTGTGCGTTTGATGCTCATAGATCAAACCCTTTTCATTGACTCCAGTGCATCTGAACACATGGCCTCAAACGTCTGTCATTATAGTCTCACGACGACAGCACAGCTTTATTTTGAACAGCTCCATCTACTGGTGACAGTGTCGCACCAATGACATGTGGCATTAATGAGTGTGTTTATGATGTTCTGCAGGTGTGAGAGCTGTCCTGCACCATCCTGTCTAACATTAGCCTGTGTGTGTGTGTGTGTGTGTGTGTCTGTGTGCAGGTGTCGTCGGTGTTGCGGGCGTTCCTGGAGCTGATGCTGGTGCGAGAGCCGTCCCAGCGGGCGTCAGCACTGGAGCTCCTGCAGAACCCCTTCCTGAAGCTGGCAGGACCCCCGGCCTGCATTGTCCCACTGATGCGGCACTACCGGCCCCGCTGACACACACACGCACATGCGCGCACACACACACACTCACTCATACTTACACACTCACCCTGTATTCTAGCTGTGCTGTAAGTGGCCTGTACAGTTTTGATAAGCTCCAGTATTTTGTGGTGGTGTTCTCCATGGTCAGACAGGCACACACACACACACACACACACACACACACACACACACACACACACAAACACACACACACACACACAAACACACACACACACACACACAAACACACACACACACACACAAACACACACACACACACACACACACACACACACACACACACACACACACACACACACACACACACACACACACACACACACACACACACACACACACACACACACACACACACACACACAGAGAGCTCCTGCTAATATGAATAATAATAATTTTTCCTACAGCGTGTGTGTTTGTGTGTGTGTGCGGATGGAGCCGTAGACACACAGAGGACTCTGATATATTTCTGTACTGTACATTTGTAGAGGCTGCCCCCCCCCCCATCCCGTTTATACACTCTTTGATTTCTGACTCTCAGTAGTGTGGCCTTCTTCATATCACACACACACACACACACACACACACACACACACACACACACACAGACACACTCATCCTCTTCCAGCAATACCTGATGTGTTCAGCATAATTACCTGAGCAGTCATGTGTGTGTGTGTGTGTGTGTGTGTGTGTGTGTCTATGTGTCTGTGTGTGTGTGTGTGTGTGTGTGGGTGTGTATGTGTGTCTTGCTGTGAGCATCTGAAGTGTAGAGATCAGCAGATCCGCTTCATGTTTGTACAGTGACCCACATCTGTGTGTCCAAGAACTGCTCAATAGACTACACACCGCAGTAGAGGTTGAGTGTACTGTAGCCTGTATACACACACACACACACACACACACACACACACACACACACACACACACACACACACACACACACACACACACACACACACACACACACTTCCGAACAGGTCTAGTTGAAGGCCTCAGTTTGCAGTGGTGATTCTCTCAGTGCTGAATGTTGTGTCTCTGGGTTTTTACACTGGTGTCCGGAAGAAGGTGCAGTCAGACATGATGTGCTGTCATCAGGGCACAGGTCAGAAACATCAGACATCAGTCATCTGATATCAGTGATCAGACATCAGTGATCAGACATCAGTCATCAGACGTCAGTGATCAGACATCAGTGATCAAACATCAGTCATTAGACATCAGATTTCAGTGATCAGACATCAGTGATCAGACATCAGTCATCAGACGTCAGTCATCAGACATCAGTCATCAGACGTCAGTGATCAGACATCAGTGATCAAACATCAGTCATTAGACATCAGACGTCAGTGATCAGACATCAGTGATCAGACATCAGTCATCAGACGTCAGTCATCAGACATCAGTGATCAGACATCAGTCATCAGACGTCAGTCATCAGACATCAGTGATCAGACATCAGTGATCAAACATCAGTGATCAGACAGACATCAGTGATCAGACATCAGTCATCAGATGTCAGTGATCAGACATTAGTGATCAGACATCTGTCATCAGACATCAGTGATCAGACATCAGTGATCAGACAGACATCAGTGATCAGACATCAGTGATCAGACAGACATCAGTGATCAGACGACAGTGATCAGACATTAGTGATCAGACATCAGTCCTCACACATCAGTGATCAAACGTCAGTTATCAGACATACATCAGTGATCAGACAGATATCAGTGATCAGACCGGCATCAGTGTTCAGACTTCAGTGATCAGATGACAGTGATCAGACAGACATCAGTGATCAGACATCAGTGCTCAGATTTAAGTGATCAGACTTAAGTGATCAGACATCTGTGATCAGACATCAGTGATCAAACAGACATCAGTAATCAGACATCAGTGATCAGACAGATATCAGTGATTAGACATTAGAGATTGGACAGGCATAAGTGATCAGACATTAGTGATCAAACAGACATAAATGATCAGACGACAGTGATCAGACAAACATCAATAATCAGACATCAGTCATCAGACATCATTAATCAGATATCAGTAATCAGACATCAGTAATCAGACATCAGTGATCAGACGTCAGTGATCAGACATCAGTCATCAGACATCAGTGATCAGACGTCAGTGGTCAGACATCAGTGATCAGACGTCAGTGATCAGACATCAGTCATCAGACATCAGTGATCAGACGTCAGTGGTCAGATATCAGTGATCAGTCATCAGTGATCATACAGCAGACGTCAGTGATCAGACATCAGTCATCAGACATCAGTGATCAGACGTCAGTGATCAGACATCAGTCATCAGACATCAGTGATCAGATGTCAGTGGTCAGATATCAGTGATCAGACATTAGTGATCATACAGCAAACGTCAGTGATCAGACATCAGATATCAGTGATCAGACATCAGTGATCAAACATCAGTGATCAGAAAGACAGGGATCAGATGTCAGTGATCAGACATCATTGATCAGACGTCAGTGATCAGACGTCAGTGATCAGAGATCAATAATCAGACATCATTGATTAGACGTCAGTGATCAGACGTCAGTGATCAGACGTCAGTGATCAGACATCAATGATTAGACGTCAGTGAACAGACGTCAGTGAACAGACGTCAGTGATCAGACATCAGTCATTAAAACTGTTTAACATATAGGGGAATAACAGCTAATCAGCATCTAACAGGAGATTGACTGACTGTGCAGTTATTAAACACTGACTCATTCTCCGTCATCATCATTATATGAGCACCTCCCAGAGGAGCGAGCTCTGGATCAGCCTCTTGTGCAGCATCATCACCCTTATTAATCATATAAATGAACAACACACATCATCATCATCATCATCATCATCATCATCATCATCATCAGCAGCAGCAGAGGGTCTGCCAAACAGCAGAGGAAGCTCCCAGTAGATGATCAGATTGACTGCAGTGGATCATCATCAAGAAGACCTCTAAAATTGAGCTGATGGACAACACGCACACACACACACACACACACACAGTTCATTTGACTGAAGCGTTTCTGTATTTATACACATTACTGTCTTTATTTTGGGTGAAGCAGACTGAATCAGCGATGTTTAACTCCAGAGGACATGAGCTGAGCTGAAGCAGGACAATACTGACACTATACACTGTCAGAAGATCTGCTCATCAGCAGCTGCTGTGTGTATTAACGGTGGTGCACTGCATTATGGGGTGTTGATCTCTGCTCTGTCCACTTCTGCTGTTGATAATTCACCGCTACTCTTGAACAGAGTGACTTTACTGAGGTTTGAGATGACATCAGAGCTCATATGTAGAGGAATGCGTCTGTAGAAGAGTCAATGAGCTGCAGTTTACTACAGGAGTGCTGGAGCGTAATATACAACACCAACACACACACACAATACAGCACTGCACACTATTACACACGTGCAGAACACACACTATGCAGCTGATCAGGGTTAAAGACGCTGCAGGAGAGATCAACATCCCATAATGCAGTGCAGCAGCAGAGATACGGACACGGCTGCTGTGGAGATCTGCACAGCGCTTTGATGAATCCAGAGTTTGTTTTGTATCACATGTTTATAAACTGCCTCAGATGCTAATAAAGGCTTTGGTTTTGAAGACGACGTCTGGAGATCTGGAACACACACACACACACACACACACACACACACACTTCATGCCCTCATAACACATCTATTCACTTAACATAGTCTCTCTTTTTTTTTTTTAATGAACAATTTTAAGTTGTGGGCATCACGGTGGCTCACACTGTGGCCTCACAGCAAGAAGGTCTCTGGTTTGAGTCTCGGCTGGGTCAGTTGGTGTTTCTATGTGGAGTTTGCATGTTCTCCCTGGGTTGGCGTGGGTTTCCTCCAGGTGATCCAGTCCCTTTATTAATCAGTAGTCGTAACAGCGGAATGAACCACCAACTTATCCAGCATATGTTTTACGCAGTGGATGCCCTTTCAGCTGCAACCCAACACTGGGAAACACCCATACACACTCATTCACACACACACTCATACACTACGGCCAGTGTAGTTGATCAGTTCCCCTATAGCGCATGTGTTTGGACTGTGGGGGAAACCGGAGCACCCGGAGGAAACCCACACCAACACGGGGAGAACATGCAAACTCCACACAGAAACACCAACTGACCCAGGACTCGAACCAGCGACCTTCATGCTGTGAGACCACAGCACTACTGCGCCATCATTACGCCATTTGGACATATTCAGTTTAGAAAATACAAGAAAACTGATGAACAGAAAATAAAGTTTATTAAACACACACACACACACACACACGCGTGCGCGCGCACAGATCATCATCATCCATCAGGAGGAGTAGTTCTTCTGTAATTGGGTGTCTGATCGATAAACCCTCGGCCGGAGACTCCAGCATTGATCTCCGCAGCGCAGCGCAGCTCATCTGTGGAAATCTTTACTGTTGGAGATGTTTCTGCTGTCCGGACGCTTCTCATCGATTTACACACGTCCAGATTCAAGATTCATTCTGACCAAAACACAAACCCGAGGAGCGTCACAGATCCTCCACCCGCTGTGTTCGATACTGCTTTATACACACACACACACACACACACGTCTTTCTATGATCACAAGGTTGTTCATTATAAAGCACAATCCAGACTTCATGTTTAGCACAACTCAAAGATTTCAGATTTTCAGTATTTTTTAAATCACAATTCAAAGTTATATTTAATCTTAACTCAGACTTTTTACTTTCATGGCAAATCAGATTTAATAATAATAATATAATAATATATATTTACTCGTAATTTAGACTTCATGGTTATCACTGTTTGTAATCGCTACACAGGCTTAATTTATGTTTCAATGCAGGCTTTTTTTTATTGCTATACTACACTATTACAGTATATTATACTATAACTCACAGCTTAAACTCAAAAATACCTTCATATTTTCATTTCATACTGATTTTATTCTGTTATTCTGTCTTAATAATTGCTATAACAATAACTTATTTTTTATTACAGCTCAGGCTTAATTTTATTCACAACTCAATCTTACTTTTTATCTCAACCCAAGCTTAATTTTGTTTTTATCTCAACTCAGGCTTAATTTTTATCTAAACACAAGATTATTTTTTATCTCAACTCAGGCTTGATTATTATTACAACTCAGGCTTAATCTTATCCGCAGCTCTGGCTTTATTTTTGTCTAAACTGAGGCTTAATTTTAATCACAACTAACCCTAACACAGGCTTCATTTTTATTCATGTCTTAACTTAGGCTTAATCTTTATCTCAATTTAGGCTTAATTTTTATCACAGGTCAGGCTTAATGTTAATTAGAAATCTAGAGTAATTTTATTCACAACTCAAGCTTACTTTTTACCTCAACCCAGGCTTAATTATTATTATTTTATCTCAACTCAGGCTTAATTTTAATTGAAACACCATAACCCAGGTTTAATTTTTATCTTAACTTAGGCTAAATTTTTTTATCTCAAGCATAATTCTCATTACAACTAAGGCTTAATTTTAATTTCAATTCTAACTCGCAACTAACCCTAACTCTGGCTTAATTTTATCACAGCTCAGGCTTAATTTTAATCAGAACTTTGTATTGTTTTATTTCCAACTTAGGCTTACTTTTTATCTCTACCAATGCTTAATTTTTTTTTACCTTAACTTAGGCTTAATTTTAATCACAACACCTTAACCCAGGTTTAATTTTTATCTCAACTTAGGCTTAATTTTTTGTTTATCAAATCTCAGGCTTAATTTGAATCAGAACTCTGGAATAATTATATTCACAATTAAGGCTTACTTTTTACCCTAACTGGCTAATTTTAATCGCAGCTTTGGCTTTATTTTTTATCTTAACTCAGGCTTAATTTTATTCAGAACTCTGGATTAATTTTATTCAAAACTCAAGCTTACTTTTTATCTTGACTACAGCTTAATTTACATAACTTAATTAGTTAAATTAATAACTTTTTACCCGAACTCAGGCTTAATTTTAATTTCAGTTAACTCGAACTCAGACTTAAATTTTTATCTCAACTCAAGCTTAATTTTAATGTCAAGTCAGGCTTAGTTATAATTGCAACTCTGGCTTAAAGGGTCACGAAACACCAGAACGCATGTGTTGAGCTGTTGACAGTGGTATATGTGTCCCACACTGCTAAAAACACTATTAGGACACCTATATCTCACTAAAAAGTGTAAATTGGTTGTTTTTGCGTTATTTCCAGCAAATTCGTACTTCCGGTTTGAAACAAATTTTTGAAGCTGCGTCACGGCCATGAGATAATAGTGTGTATTCCAGCGTGCAGACTGGGCGTCTGTACCTGGGTGTACCGTATTACGTCTTCGAGTGTGCTGCATTAATGCATGAGTAAAGCTTGGTTCAAACCAATCAGCGCGCTCTATTGTGCAACTTCATTAATATTCATTACTGTCACAGTGTTTAGACGACAGAGACGCCACGTTGTGTTGGCAAAACAAGCGTGAAGTGTTGCTTTTATAGTTTGCTGCAGTGAAGTTTTGTTTTCATTTTCTCTCTGTGAGAGCGCAGCTGGAGTCACGTGTGGATTAACAGTGTACGCGACGCTCGACAACAATAACTTACGTGTCTATTAATTCAGTTTGTTCTTATCGAACTAACTATTGCAACTATTTAATAACTTGGCAAATAGTTTGATACAGATGTCCATGTAAACACAGTCACTTCAAATAGACACTCCCACACCATCCCTCTTTAGTTCCTCCGACACTCCCCCCTAAACAGAGCTGGACACGCCCACTTTTCTGACTTTCCAAAGTAGAGGTGTGAAAACACCCTGCTGAAACAAGGGGGTTTCATGGCCCTTTAATGTTCAGGTGCAACAGACCCAAACCCAGGCTTCATTTTTATCACAACTCAAGATTAATTTTGACCACAGTTTAGGCTTAATTTTTATTTCATCTCAGTCTTAATTTTTATCACATGTCAGATTTAAATGTTATATCAACTCAGGCTTAACACACACACACACACACACACACAGTACATGGAAACAAAATATTTTATTTTCAGTCGAGTCAATCTTAAGGTGCGTCAATAATCTGCAGTTTGAGGATGTAATGATGTGTGTGTGTGTTTGTGTGTGTGTGTGCGCAGTAATTTACACATTAGGAAGTGTGTGTGCCCCCATAGCAAAATTTCTTTGGCCCAGATCTGGCTCACACCATCAGCATTTGCTTGGCCCACATGCCGCAGTGAATTACGGTACATGACTGGACCAAATCTGGCTTCCATACAAGCGGCAAACATGGACCATATGTGGGCCAAGTCTCAGCCAAATTAATAACCCATACCTGGGCCTGAACTGGGCCCGATATGTTGGTGTGTTACGATTGCAATGTTTTTTATAAACCCATGAAGCATTTCGCTTTATAGCTGTGCTTTTTCTTGAAGCGACCTGATTGATAGAATTTTTTCTTTGCTTAAAAATAATATA